CATGGTATATACAACAAAACTCCATACCACTTCATGGCTATATACACAAAACTTCATACCACTACATGGATATACAACAAAACTCCATACCACTACATGGCATATACTAACAAAACTTCATACCACTACATGGTAGATACAACAAAACTCCATACCACTACATGGTATATACACAAAACTTCATGCCACTACATGGTATATACTAACAAAACTCCATACCACTACATGGTATATACAACAAAACTCCATACCACTACATGGTATATACTACAAAACTTTATACCACTACATGGTATATACTACAAAACTCCATACCACTACATGGTATATACCACAAAACTTCATACCACTACATGGTACATGGTATATACTTTTTCAAAAATCAGTATTTATAAATACTGACTTGAAAGTCAATTGCCATTGTTTACAGTTACAGTCCCTTGTCAGGGAAGTAGCACATATTTTTTTTAATGGAATAGCATGACATGGGTTAGCAAAACAAGATTTGTTGGACCTCCGTCCTTTTCCAGGTGTTATATAATCTACAGTTACCAATCTAAGAATCTAAAACTAATACTTACTATCAACTTGTACAGTGCATTCTGTTATGTCCTGTCCTGCTGAATTAACAGCAAGACACTTATATTTACCACCCATCTCAGGCGTCAATTTATCTATTTCTAGTGAACACATTCCTAACATATAGCCTATCTTATAACTGCCGTCAGTACGACTGATCTCTTTATCTTTGTGCATCCATGTAACCTGTGGGACAAAATATTGAAGATGTTCATTAATCAATCATATGCTACAACTGTGTGTATGACTATTATGTAGATCATTAGACACAGCTGCATAACCTCAAACTCATTATCATGCACAGAGCATTGCTATTCGAATGGTTACAGTTTCTATATTTCAATATTTCAGATTCTATATTTCAATATATGGGAAAATATATTCAGTATTTGGGCTAACTATTCATTTGTATATTTAATTTTATTGTATATTTTTTATTTATTTTCAACCTGGCATACTGACTGATCAATTAAACCAATCAAACATGCTAGAAATGTATGTCATTTCATAATAACATTATACAGCATCATAAGAATCCCAGATAAATATTCACTACTATAACCTTATGAGAACAACCCCCATTCCCCCCATAACAACTGGCCAAATTCACAACAAGCAGCCTCTCGGCTGAGATACCTCCGCTGTTAGCAATGCACATTTCAATTAAAGAACAGAAGATATCATTAGAAAATGAACAATATGCATAGTATCAATGCAATGGGACTTGCTGTTTTCAACAAGAATTCAAAAATATCACTTTTCACCAAAGTGACAAAAATATTCATCAAAATTGGAGAATTGAAGATATCATCATACAAATGAACAACTTTGAGAGTGGCCCACATGTAGTACCTATATATGTAATATTAAAGCAATTGGACTTGTGGTTTTTAACAAGAAGTTGAAAATATCACTTTTTACCAAAAATGACAAAAATATTCATCACAATTAGAAAATTGAAGATATCATGGAATGAACAAATTTGAGAGTGGTTCACATGTAGTACCTATATATGTAATATCAAAGCAATTGGACTTGCGGTTTTTAACAAGAAGTTGAAAATATCACTTTTTACCAAAAATGACAAAAATATTCATCACAATTAGAAAATTGAAGATATCATGGAATGAACAAATTTGAGAGTGGTTCACATGTAGTACCTATATATGTAATATCAAAGCAATTGGACTTGCGTTTTTTAACAAGAAGTTGAAAATATCACTTTTTACCAAAAATATTCATTTAAATTAGAGAATTGAAGATATCATCATACAAATGAACAAATTTGAGAGTGGTCCACATGTAGTACCTATATATCATATGTAATATCAAAGCAATTGGACTTGTGGTTTTTAACAAGAAGTTGAAAATATCACTTTTTACCAAAAATGACAAAAATATTCATCACAATTAGAGAATTGAAGATATCATGGAATGAACAAATTTGAGAGTGGTTCACATGTAGTACCTATATACGTAATATCAAAGCAATTGGACTTGCGGTTTTTAACAAAAAGTTGAAAATATCACTTTTTACCAAAAATGACAAAAATATTCACCAAAATTAGAGAATTGAAAATAAGATCATGAAATGAACAAATCTGAGATACCCAAGGTACATATACACCAAGTATCAAAGCATTCAGGCTTGTAGTTTTCAAGAAGAAGTCGAAAAAGTAAAACATTGGCACGGACGACGGACAATCACTCATATGATAAGCTCCACTCGACAAAGTCGACAGCGGAGCTAACAAAAAGTTATTTGGCAAAATTAGAGTACCGGTACCGGTAGTATACATAGTTTGCAGAGGTAGAAAATTGAACAGTGCATACTATTGCCACATATTTGGAATGTTAATTAAAAACTTCATTTACTTTATCCATGGGAACCAATAGTTATGCATGTAAATTCAAGGTAGACTACTAAAACAGTGGCGTTAGTATGACACTGGATACCTACTTTCGGTTCTGGATGTCCAGAGACTATACAAGTTAATTTTGCACTCTCAGATAGCTGTATCCGACGAGATCGTAAGATAAATGTAAACATTGGAGCTACATCTGGTTTGGCTTCAACAACTGGGATATAGGTTTTTCTGTTATATGCATAAAAAATGAAATGTTATTATCGAAATTACAGGCAGATATTCAAACATATAAACATGAAACACAAAATTTGAAATGTGCCTTGCCACTGTAAGTAGATGCACTCCCTTTTTATGCCATGTCTTACTGACCCAAAATCATTGTACATGTTGACAATTTGAATTAACCAATCAATAACATTCCTAATATGAATTAACCAATCAAAGACATTCCTAATTTGAATTAACTAATCAAAGACATTCCTAATATGTCACACTCTCTGACAGAGCACTTCTGTGATATCAAAATGATGTAGATGGTGTAAGTAATGTCCGTCAAATAGGCAACTTGATTTGTGTAATCGTTTGTTATACAGAATATAATGACTATTGTCTGATAAATAACATTATAACATTATTTTTTTAGTGACTGA